TTTTAACAGAGGAACTTCAAATGATGTTCCATAAAATCTATCCTGACAACATACTATTAAATTGTTTTTTCATGATAATTTGCGTATTTAATATAACCAAAATAAACATTTTGTTTAATATCAGACCAGCAAATAAAAAAATACAATTCTGAAACAGTCACAATTCCTTTCTGTAATATTACTGTCAGTATTACTAAAGCAAATTGAAACAGCTGTTGGAAATTGCTAAAAAAAAATTACACACAAATGCATAGTTACCTTGTATGGACACGTTTACTTGTCTGATGGTCCTGCCAACAGAATTGTTTGCAACGCAGTATACATACTCAGGTGTTGACTCTGATATAGTAAGAGTTTCATTGTATACTATAACATTTGCGCCGAGGCTCCAGCCGATTGTTGGTTTTGGGTTTCCCTCGGCTTCACAAACAAGCACCTCTGGATACCCTCGAAACACAGGCACTATGGAGGGCAGTTTGGTCTCATTGATGATCGGTTTAACTACAGGAAGGAGCCAAAAACACACAGGTTAAGAGCTTTTGCATCTGCATACTGCATCTTAAATTTCTTATGTTAATCCATATTCATTTTAATCTCGTAGTTTTCAACAAAACTACCCAAATTTAGATATTTGACTAGAAAAAGTCACGTGCTGCATCTGATCCCTATTACACAACTTGACACAGCGTGTCGCATGGTAAGTGCTACAACTACTAAAAGTAAATGTTAACATGTTCTAAAAAGATTAATCATAGGAGCTGGTGGATCTTACTTACAATATACAGTGATATTGAGAAGGTCTGATGTTTCTTTTGGAGGAGGTTGAGGTCCTTCTGCTCCCAGTTCCAGCTCTGCTTCACACCTGTATTGAGCTCCATCATCAGCTCTGTCTGGACGGATCAGGAGTGTGGTGGTTTCATTCACTGGAGTCTTGCTATCTTCAGTGAAGGTGGTTTGATTCAGCAGAGTCTGTCCTTTGTACCATTTGACAGTGAGATTCTGAACTGGAGCCACATCGTGAACATCACACTGGAGCTCATACTGCTTTCCCTCTATCATTGGTCCTCTGTGATTCACAATGATGATCGACACACTGTCTGGAGTCTCTGAGGAGGAAGATTTACAAACTCTGAAATCTGCAGTGATGAATGTACATTTATTAGATATTTTTGAGAATGAAAAGACAAAAAATATAAGTAACAGGGAAACTGACTGTAAATAGTGACTGGGAGCTCTACTTGACACTGTTCCTCATGGTTTATGTAGCAGTATGGCTGTATGTCCCATTCTATCAGATTTGACACTCTCCATGTGATCAGACTGTCTCTGGTCATGGTCACTGCTCCCTCACTGGCTTCCCATCCCATCCCTTTATGTGGGACTGAAGTTTTGTAGTCAGCTGAAACATCGTCACCGTACCTCACAACAGCTCTCCGTGGGATGAGTTGAATAGGACATTGACTCTCTACAGAACAGCATGTGATTGAAAACCAATGAAGCTTCATCACAGAATAACAGCATTATTTACAAATCAGTTTGGGCATTCATCTATCTATACAGTACTGTGCAACAGTCCTTCATATATTTGGCAATGTAAAGCATAAATAAAATAGCTTTTCACAAGTGTGAGCAATAAAATTAGAGATGCCTTAGTGACTTTTCACACAGAACATGCTTTTGAGTTTAAAACCATGAGACTCAGGGCAGTGGAATGAAAAAAACGCAACACACGTTTTTTTAACCATGTGGTATTTCCTCTCTTACAGCTCACACTTGTGATCATCGCCGGTCAAAACAGTACAGTGATATTGAGAAGGTCTGATGTTTCTTTTGGAGGAGGTTGAGGTCCTTCTGCTCCCAGTTCCAGCTCTGCTTCACACCTGTATTGAGCTCCATCATCAGCTCTGTCTGGACGGATCAGGAGTGTGGTGGTTTCATTCACTGGAGTCTTGCTATCTTCAGTGAAGGTGGTTTGATTCAGCAGAGTCTGTCCTTTGTACCATTTGACAGTGAGATTCTGAACTGGAGCCACATCGTGAACATCACACTGGAGCTCATACTGCTTTCCCTCTATCATTGGTCCTCTGTGATTCACAATGCTGATGGACACACTGTCTGGAGTCTCTGAGGAGGAAGACTTACAAACTCTGAAATCTGCAGTGATGAATGTACATTAGATATTTTTGAGAATGAAAAGACAAAAAATATAAGTAACAGGGAAACTGACTGTAAATAGTGACTGGGAGCTCTACTTGACACTGTTCCTCATGGTTTATGTAGCAGTATGGCTGTATGTCCCATTCTATCAGATTTGACACTCTCCATGTGATCAGACTGTCTCTGGTCATGGTCACTGCTCCCTCACTGGCTTCCCATCCCATCCCTTTATGTGGGACTGAAGCACTACAGTTAACTGCTACAGAATCGCCGTATCTCACAACAGCTCTCTGTGGGTTGAGCTGAACAGGACATTCAGCTTGTGTACCTGTTAAACACATCGAAGAACACAGAATAAATGCATATAGATATTGTTTACTAGAAAGACTGAACACAGATAACCAACCATCACATGTTAAAACTTGTTTACTGACCAACTGCATGCAAAACAGACAAGAAAAGTTTTTGGATATTGTAGAAGACCATCAGTCTATCACAGTTTATGACTCTTTTAAAACAAAGAGGCTCATCGATTCTTACCATCTGGGAAATGAAACTTAGAAACTTCACTGACACAGCAGGGTCATTCTAAAGCATGTCCCTCACACAAGTGTGTAAGCAATTTACAACAACAAGTGGGCACCACCTTTTACCATGTGTTATCTTTTGTAAAGACGTCAAAGAAAAATCCACTACATTTATTTTCGATTTTCATTTTATTTCAGTGTTTCCTCCATAAATATGCATTTTTGTCCTGTCTTGGCCTTGCCTTCTCAACCTCTCCTTTCTGTTTTAGCAATCAAGTACATGTCACAGGAAATAAACATTTTATTCATAATTTTGAAGAAATTTGTTTTTGTTTTTTTTACAAAAAATTCGTTTCCACAGGTTATGTGTCAATCCTGTTATCATAACTCATTATTAATATGATTACAAGGATATTTGTTGTAATAACAGCATTGAATACTTTATAATAAACAGCTTGTATTGTCATGATTGTGAAGTGTGAACACAAGATTAGTAATGGCTAAATGAACTATAAAACTACTAACTTTGTTACTTTACAAATGCACAGGTTACATGCACAGCTGAAGAGTTTGCCAGCACTAAAAATACTAAGCACTCAAGATCATATTACAAGCGCTACTGTAGATAGCAGCGTGACTCCTTACTGTACAGTAATGAATTAACTCAAATAGGTCAACATTTTAACGCAGACAATAGAGGTCAACGACGCTCTGAATCACTCACATGAAAGCGAATGTTTAGAATACATTCAAGCGCGTATGCTACTGGTTAATGAATGTTCTCGCTTCTGGTATCGAAAGAATGAAAGGGAAATAAGTCAATACAAACCTGTGAGAGTCACAAACAGTAAAACTGCTGAAAGATAAACAAGTCCATAAAAACGCTGCAGCATGTTGTAAGTGTTCGAGTACGTTACCATCAACCAGACAAAGGCGCGGCCAAGACGTGCGAATAAATAAATGCGTCGCCTCTGTCTAGTGACTGTCCAGCGGCTCCTCAAGCGAAACCCCACCCAGATCACTGTGGATATGGTTTTCTACGGAAGCACCTATAGAAACGAAAGTATTCATGCAGTTCATATGGGAGAACCCGTGCGCGCAAACAAGCTTCTGAGGGAAATAAGACAGTGGCCAAGACGTTTCAAATCTCAGACTCTCTGTAACATGGCGCATTATTAAAGGGATACAAACCTTAGACAGAATACATTTTTACCTGCTGGAAAAACAGCTAAAACCAGCCTATGCTGGTTGGTCCGCTGGCCTCCCAGCCTTACCTAAAATCCCTTTAAAACTGTTAAACAGCTACAGCCAGGCTGGAAGCGAAGGCTAGTTTCAGTTGGTTCTTTTAACAAGGACAGTGTTGAAAATGAACTGTTTGGTTAACGCATTTGGAAGTTATTTAATTGAAATAAAATGTCTCCATGTTGGAACAGTCGATTCATCGTCTTTCATCGTAATAATCGATTCAATAATTTTTATCATGTTTATTCAATGTTAGAATAATATCGTAGACACTGGCCATAATGTTTTTTTTTTATTTAAAAAAAATATATAATAGATATAACAAGATAAAAAATGCTAATCCTGAAAGACAAACAAGGGTGCATCTGTTTCAACATATCTGTTTGATTTACTGTTATAAAAAAGGCAGTATCTTGGTGATTTCTCTTTATCTTATCACAATTCCCACCAAATATGTTTTGCAAAATTACAATAATCTTCAAGCAACAAACAATTAGACAACACCAAATAGGAATTAAAGCACCTGAGGTAAATTTAAATTTTGTAGTTGTTAATTGTGTAGTTGTTATACACAACAGATCTGTAATGAACCAACTTGATAAAATGCAGACAATTGTTCAATACTCTACAAGATGTTAATTTTTCTTTTCTTTTTTGCAGAAGACTGAAAATGATTCTATGAAAAGAATATTTCTTTTATTAGATTTTTTTAAACAAATGTTTCCTAAAATGTTCTCAACAAATTCATTTACAAATTCAAATGTCATGTGCTTATAAAAACAAATGGTATTAATTCCATAAACAAATTTAAAACCCACCAGAATACTGGTGAGATTACACTCATATAGCGATTAAACGCATAGAAATTTAGTGACATGATTAAAAAGATAGTTCAAACAAACATGGAAATTCTGTCATTTATTCATCCTCATGTCGTTCCAAACTTGTGTGACTTGAAGTGTTTTGTGAAACTGAAAAGTTGAATTTTTTAATAATCTTTACACAATGATTTTCTATACAACAGCAATTGATAATGACCACACATCTCAAACTGAAAATAGACAAAAAATGCATATTGCTTTAGAATATATAGTTGTATGGGCTACCTTTATGATGATTTTTTAAAAATCTTTTGAAGCTTTACAGACATAGCCACTATGAGCTACGTAAAGAAGGAAAACAACAACAGCATGCAGCTTTTAGAACAACATGAGGGTGAGTAAATGATGACAGAGCCGTCATTTTGTTTTTAACATCATTATACAGCTTGAGCCATAAAACCGGCACACTTATTTTATGTCCAGCATCTCTTTTTTTACAGACTATGAGGCCTGAGAGAATTTTCAGAAATTCATCCAAATATTTTCCCACAGGTTCACCATGAGACCCCTCATACGCAAGCTTTCACTTCTTCACAGTTACCGTGTGCTATATTTCCAGCCTCTAAAATGCGGATTTTGCCAGAGGAACTGAAACTTTAAATGAATAACTTGTTTAACGAAGTAACAGACTCAACTATGGTGTCTTTCATAAGTTCACACTTACATATAATCAGATTGAGCAAATAGTATGCATATTTGGCATGCTGTCCAAAGGGAGGGCTCCGATCTCCCAGAGAACTCCCCCCATATCCCAAGTTGGGATAGGAATAGTTAGGAGTGAGAAGCTGGGGTGGAGGAGGGATGCCTGAAAACTGTCATAAAAAAGAGGTAAGTTGGCTGTATATTTACTATCATGCTTAATTGGTTGATTATCTGAACGTGCTCCTCCCGAACTTTGTTAATAAAACATCATTTCTTAATATATACTGTATAGCACTTGACAAAACATAAATATTCAAACTGATCAATGTGCCAGAGACATATACAAAAGAATAGTCTTGTTAAACAATTTAACAAAAGCCTTCCCTTAAATAGGTGTACATAGCAAATATTACTCAAGTAATGTCACTTGTAGTTGATGAACATTCACTTATATCAAGATCCTAGATTCCTGAAAACGTCCACTGCAGACATCAGGTCCTTTAATTTGAAATTCATTCAGCATTTCTTTGTCATCTGTTCTGTTAGGTATTTTCCTCTGGTCCATTAAATGGCAGACTGCTGGAAACGAAAAAGTTCATTTTGTGATGTAGTTAACAGTTAAACTGGCTCTAGAATTGAATGAATGAACAGGTGCTCCATAAAATAAAAATAAAGAAGCCATGAAGAAACTAGCCCCAAAGTAGAGGCCTAAAGACTTCCAGTGTCAAAATCCCTTGTTAATTGTGGACACTGTGACTCGGCAGATGCGGCGAACCCAGGGATTCATAACCTAAGCAAGGATATTGCTCTGAGAGAGTTTCTTCATAGGAATAGGGCTGTGTTTGCCATTCTGTGCTATGTTTCCATTTTGCACACTAGGCTTGGCATCCTTCAGGCTATAACGTCCCATCTTGGCTGTTTTGTAGTAGATACAGTAGATAAAGATGAAGATGACTGAGATGAACGCCACAGTGACTGCAATAAGTCCTGCTATTAAGGGCAGGTAATCCTCTGTGTCAAGAGAAATAAAGCACACCAAAAGATTAGACAAATAACACAGCCTAAACAGACAAGTGCTAAAATAGCTGGAAAAAAAAAACATACTTCATGATTTTACCATATCAGAAGCAAATAAGCAAAATGAAATGGTTAATCATAGCACGTGTACATGTGTAATCAAAACATTTCAATGCATTGTGATTACATCATTCAGTGTCTCTTACATCATTTTTAATGATTTGGTCAATTTTATTCATTATGATTTCTGAACAGCATACATTTTATTTTTAGACAAGTGTCTGGCCTGATCAAACTTACAGTTTTGAAACATCCCTATATTCTAAAGTAAAACTACATTTAAACTGCAAGAAAGCGGAATGAGTTGGAAATGTAAACCAAAACAAATGCAAAAATGCATAGTTACCTTTTAAAACAACTTTTATTTGTCTGATGGTCCTGCCAGCAGAATTGTTTGCAACGCAGTACACATACTCAGGTGTTGACTCTGATATAGTAAGAGTTTCATTATATACTATAACATTTGAGCCGAGGCTCCAGCCGATTGTAGGTTTTGGGTTTCCCTCGGCTTCACAAACAAGCACCTCTGGATACCCTCGAAACACAGGCACTATGGAGGGCAGTTTGGTCTTATTGATGATCGGTTTAACTACAGGAAAGAGCAAAGAAAAAACAGGTTTCACATGATAATAATCAAGACCACTGAAATACCTGCTAAGAACTTGGACAAATAATTTTACATACAATGTACAGTAATGCTGAGATGTTCTGATGACACTGTTGAACGTTGAGGTCTTTCTGCTTCTAGCTCTGCTTCACACCAGAATTGAGCTCCATCATCAGCTCTGTCTGGGCAGATCGGGACTTTATATGTTAAATTGGCTGGAGTCTTGATGGTGTCAGTGACGTTGATTTGATTCAGTTTGTACCATCTCACATCAACAATCTTAAAAGGAGCCACATTCCGGATTAAGCACTGGAGCTCATACCACTCGCCCGCTATCATTGGTTCTCTGTGATTCACAGTGCTGATGGAAATATCTGGAAGACATATCAAGCATAACAGAGTAGCTGAAATCCCAAATTCTTCAAATAAGTGCAAAAAATTACAGAAATGTATTTTAAAAAACATATCCACGCTTAAGCTGACTGTTGTTTTGGCACAAGGTAGGTTTGTAGCTGGTATGTTACAGTTATTGCTTTTTGACCACTAAGAACCATCAACCATGTTTCAAAACAGAGTCACAATCTTGTGTAGTTTTCCCAGTGCACTTAGTTAAGTGAGTAACACTGTCAAGCCCAATACATTAGCCTTTCCTTCCATTTTGTGAACTGGCAACTTCCTATTTTGTATTGTTATCAGTGTGGTATTTCCAGCAAATGCCAGCAGGCTGTTATGCTTTGGACTTCATGGACACATTTTCTCTATATCCCTACTATAAAAAAAAACCTCTTAAACCAACTTAAACTAGCTGGTTTACACTGGACTCCCAGCTAGGCGAACGTGTTTAGCTGCACAGCCCCAAACCCCTCAAAAACTATAGCCAGACCTGGGAGACCACCTAAGGACATTAAACCAGCTATAGGCTGCATGATTTAAGATGTTTAGCAGAAACCCAAACACAGTTGCATGTAGGAGTTGTTCAAGCAAGAGAACAGTTTTGCAAGTCACAACTAACTGAAAATAAGCATGTAAACATTTGGCAGCAATCACAGTGAAACAAAACTGTGATGTTTCCTCATAAATACTATAGCTTCAGGAGACCCCTTACCTTCAGTCTAACAGTGACGAAGTATAATTAATTTAACTCTACAGTATATTTGCAATTGCTGACAGACTGTGGCTGTGGTTAAACAGCTAAATGCAGGCTGTTAATGATAGCAAACACAGTGTATTTATCTTGTTTGACAACGTTATTCTATCGCTATTTAAACAGTGTTACTCATAGTCTTTTCAGAAGCGAGTCACAGCGGAGGAAATAAAATACCAGGGCATTTTAATCACTCTTTAACTTATTTAAACCCCCCTTTCTAAAGTTTAACACGGAAAACTGATCTGAAAATATATAACTTTTTCTTCAGGATTGGAAAAACATAACACGGGTTATATAAATGTCCTACCATCCAACGCGTACCGCAGCGACAGCAGATCCAGAAAGAGACACGTGAAGAGGATCCGATCGCCCCGCGCCGTCATTTTTAATTGTAGCTACGCTGTATTGAAAGCGTTTTAACCAGCTAACGGTGTTTAATTGTTCAGGCAGTAACACAACACACGGTCTCGGACCCTTCATTTATCGCAGGAAACCACTGCCCAGTCTGCCCTCGCACAGCAGCCCGTTTTAGTTAATGTTAACCCTCCCCCACACATCTCTCTAAAAGTGCACGTTGCAACTTTATTCATTTGCATCCTGTCACGACAAATCGGGGACTAGAAATAGAGAGAGCTCATTCACCTATCTCTAAGATAAGGCAAAGTCGTTTTGAACATCGCATTAAGTCTTTAAAGACCACCTTTGAAAATGTGTCACAAAATGTGAGTCATACTGGACCCCCACAAACATTGGTCAGTGCATCTTCCCTACTGTACAGTATGCAGAAAGGAGCAGCATGTCTGAATACTCAGTACTCATGAACAGATGAGATTGTGAGTGTGCATCACCAGTGCATCACTCATAAGCCTCCTTGTGACTCAATTGTTGCAGTTAACAGAAACAGATCTGTTGTACCAGCAGGCAACACTCGAGCTGAATAGGGCATTCAGTAGTGTTCTTCAGTAGCGTGTGCTTTACAAATAATGAAGCTATAGAATCAAAGAAGTGCACAAGTAGACACAACTAGTAGTTCCAAGTAACAGTTTCGCCACCTAAAGTAATGAATCGTATTACTCTTTTTAATATCTTCGTAACTTTTTAACAGTTTCAGTGTCAGAATGAACAAGGGTGAGACGTAAGGCATTTCAACAGTAAATAAAAACATTTGCATTTGCACAGATGTCAGTGTGTCAGCCAGCAAAACAAACCAAAATGCATGCACTGTTAAGGCTTATAAACTGGCAGCCAGTTTCATGCTTTGACTAATGCTATACACATACAAGCTTCGTAACAATTATTTTTAGCTATTGTAGAATACATCAGCCAGGTTTAGAGCTATATAAAACAAAGAGGTTTCCTTGTGTCTAAGCTGTATGATCACTTTGTAAATAAATGATGTAAATATAAGCCATAATGTGATCACAGTGACATTAACACTGCAAGCGGAGCATTACAAGACCAACAAACCAAGCAGCTTAAAGTGCAAATACTCTGTGAAAGGCCAAAGCACTAACCACAAAAGAAGCTGTGAATCTATCCTGACAACATACTATTAAATTGTTTTTTCATGATAATTTGCGTATTTAATATAACCAAAATAAACATTTTGTTTAATATCAGACCAGCAAATAAAAAAATACAATTCTGAAACAGTCACAATTCCTTTCTGTAATATTACTGTCAGTATTACTAAAGCAAATTGAAACAGCTGTTGGAAATTGCTAAAAAAAAATTACACACAAATGCATAGTTACCTTGTATGGACACGTTTACTTGTCTGATGGTCCTGCCAACAGAATTGTTTGCAACGCAGTATACATACTCAGGTGTTGACTCTGATATAGTAAGAGTTTCATTGTATACTATAACATTTGCGCCGAGGCTCCAGCCGATTGTTGGTTTTGGGTTTCCCTCGGCTTCACAAACAAGCACCTCTGGATACCCTCGAAACACAGGCACTATGGAGGGCAGTTTGGTCTCATTGATGATCGGTTTAACTACAGGAAGGAGCCAAAAACACACAGGTTAAGAGCTTTTGCATCTGCATACTGCATCTTAAATTTCTTATGTTAATCCATATTCATTTTAATCTCGTAGTTTTCAACAAAACTACCCAAATTTAGATATTTGACTAGAAAAAGTCACGTGCTGCATCTGATCCCTATTACACAACTTGACACAGCGTGTCGCATGGTAAGTGCTACAACTACTAAAAGTAAATGTTAACATGTTCTAAAAAGATTAATCATAGGAGCTGGTGGATCTTACTTACAATATACAGTGATATTGAGAAGGTCTGATGTTTCTTTTGGAGGAGGTTGAGGTCCTTCTGCTCCCAGTTCCAGCTCTGCTTCACACCTGTATTGAGCTCCATCATCAGCTCTGTCTGGACGGATCAGGAGTGTGGTGGTTTCATTCACTGGAGTCTTGCTATCTTCAGTGAAGGTGGTTTGATTCAGCAGAGTCTGTCCTTTGTACCATTTGACAGTGAGATTCTGAACAGGAGCCACATCGTGAACATCACACTGGAGCTCATACTGCTTTCCCTCTATCATTGGTCCTCTGTGATTCACAATGCTGATGGACACACTGTCTGGAGTCTCTGAGGAGGAAGACTTACAAACTCTGAAATCTGCAGTGATGAATGTACATTAGATATTTTTGAGAATGAAAAGACAAAAAAATATAAGTAACAGGGAAACTGACTGTAAATAGTGACTGGGAGCTCTACTTGACACTGTTCCTCATGGTTTATGTAGCAGTATGGCTGTATGTCCCATTCTATCAGATTTGAAACTCTCCATGTGATCAGACTGTCTCTGGTCATGGTCACTGCTCCCTCACTGGCTTCCCATCCCATCCCTTTATGTGGAACTGAAGCGCTACAGTTAACTGCTACAGAGCCTCCGTATCTCACGACAACACTCTTCTGGTTGAGCTGAACAGGACATTCAGCTTTTGTACCTGTTAAACACATTGAAGAGTAGGCTGTGATTTACAGTATTTTAATCACTTATACTGTTATAATAAACAAAAGTCCTATTTCTAATCTGACAACAAATCAGCAAAAATGCCAGGGATTTTCCCCCTAACATTTCTACATATTTTCAGTTGACTTGACAAACTACACAAAATCACAATGTACTTTTTAAATGTATGTATACATGTATACACACAGTGTCTTTCAAGTAAAGTCACTGCCATTCAATTTTCTTTTTAATGCACTTAACTTAAAACTTTAATTTGCATGGTTTGTTTTTATACATCTGACCTTAATTTAATCCTTAATGGTACTAGTCTAAAACTAGTCTTAATGGTAAATCAATGTCTTATTTATAATAAACTTTCAATAGTGCCTTTAAAAGCAACATCTCAAAGCGCTTCACAAGAATAAGATCAAATAGGACATACAATTATACAAACAATGCATTAATATAAGTGAAATACAGACAAAGATAAAATACCAGACAAAAACAAACTATCAAACTTTTAACAAATAAATAAAAATTAAGACAATTACAAAATAAACAGGTAAAAGCTAACCAAAAAAAAAAAAAGTTTTAAAGGGGTCATATGATGCTATTTTAAAGATCATTATTTTGTGTATTTGGTGTAACAGAATATGTTGACATGCTTTAATGTTCAAAAAACATATTATTTTTCAAATACTGTACATTATTGTAGGTCCTCTATGCCCCGCCTCTCTCAAACGCGAATAAAAGTTACGCCTTCTTTCTTTGCGTGAACATTTGGGCGGCGTTATGCAAATCTTCCCACATAGTGATGTAGACATGTGGGGGCGTGTTAGAACGAGCCGTTTTAGGTAGGCGTGGTTGACTCTTAACTTTTATAAAGAATATCTCTTTGGATTTGAGACTTTAGTCTTTGCAACTTTACAGATCTTTTTTATGCACCAAGAGCTTGTAACACTCCAAAGAGAAAGGAAAACTTGAAATTGCATCATATGACCCCTTTAAGGGAAGATAAAAAAAAAAAAAAGGGATTTAGCTTGCCTCATCTCGGCAGGCAAAGAATTCCAAAATTTTGGAGAAACTGAAGAAAAACCCTGATCACCCATAGATTTTGAACAAGTAAACTGAACAATTAAATGGCAAAATTCAAAGGAGCGGAGATCATGCACTGGTGTGTAGGGGGTTAAAAACTCAGAGAGATAATGAGGTGCCAAACCATGCAAAACCTTATAAGCATGAGAATTTTAATCTCAACACGGAATCTGACAGGGAGTTAATGTAAAGACTCCAAGAGTGATGTGGAGGAGTGATGTGATCCCTTGTTCTGTTTTCAGACAGGATTCGAGTGGCTGAATATTTGTTATACCTATACATTTTCAACTGGTTTGAGTGTTTTGTCTTAGCAAGTAGTAGCATGATAACCAAACATGATAAATTATTGTTACAGCATTACAATTTTTTCTTATAACCAAAGCTGTTTATCATATATCATAAGTGTATGTGTGTGTGATCATTTGCTTTCTGACAACATACCTCATTACTGTTGATCATGCAAAACAGACACCTTACCAAAGCAGTTCCAAAATCACCAAAAGCTTAGTCACACTTTAAGAATATTTTGTCTAAAATCCACTGAGAGTGCACATTATGCATTACAGAAGTATCTGTATAAAGTTAAAATGAACAGTGTTTTTAAAAGAACAGTCACTTTTTATCAATTTAACACATCCTTGCTGAATAAAAGCATTAATTTCTTTCAAAAAAAACAAAAAAACGGTAGTGTATATTGTTACAAAAGATTTCTATTTTAAATAAACGCTGTTCTTTTTAAAGTTTTATTCATCAAAGAATCCTGAAAAAAGTATCACAGGTTCCAAAAAAAAAAAAAAAGCAGCAAAAGCATGAAGCAGCAAAACTGTTTCCCATATTGAAAATAAATCAGCATATTAGAATGATTTCTGAAGGATCATGTGACACTGAAGACTGGAGTAATGGTGCTGAAAATTCAGCTTTGCATCACAGAAATAAATTATATTTTAAAGTATATTAAAATAAAAAAAAACATTATTTTAAATTGCAATAATTTCACAATATTACTTTTTCTGTATTTCTGATCAAATAAATGCAGCCATAATGAAAAGAAGAGACTTCTTTAAAAAACATTAAAAATCTTACTGATCCCAAACTTTTGAACGGCAGTGTGTGTGTGTTTTTCTAATGAAAATAGATCCCCTGTGACCTAGATAGGGTCATCATAAGAGGCGGGCCATGGGAAGTAAATGTAAATGTAGAAAAACTTGATGTTTTTTTTTTAAAACACGATTTTTCACCACTTCGTTTAATGTTATTTTTTGGAAAACTTTCTTCAGAGTGAATTTCGTTTTGAATTGATTTTAGTTTAATTGTAATTAATGTATCAGTCATCCTTCTCAGTGGAAAAATATACAATAATTTAAAAGAAGGTGAAGTAGTGAAAGCGGAATGCGTACCAAATTAACCCACAACAATGGGTCTTGCTCTTCACTAGCTTGCTCCCTTGATGCCAGCCCTCAGTGCTCTCTAAATGCCAATAGTGATGGGTCATTCTTGAACAATTCGTTCATTTTGAACAAATCTTTAATGTGACTCGAGAAGAACGAGTCATCTCGGGGAGTGATTCGTTCAGTCGCGCATGCGCAACATCCTATAGGTTCTGCACTGGAATTAGTCAAGTAGTTCACCTGGTTCGAGTCTTCGGGTTTTTCGAGTCGTTCGTTCATCGCGTGACAGACCCATAATCTTAACCTATGCAGTCTGAGCCAGAAAGAGGCTTAATAATAATAACCAACTCTTTATTACCTTTGTTACAACATTCAGTGTTATGGAAAAGAACCATTATGACAGAAATTCACACATTTATAAACTGTAAGAATTAAAAAGCTACAATTTGAGACCAGTAACTGTAAGAGTAAATAATAATTATAATAATGTTAATAATAATAATAATAACTATGCACCCCTTTGTAAGGAAGCTTGTAAATTAACTAATTTCTCTATCCAATGCTGTCACGTCATGTGACAAAATAACGAATGATTCGAAAGACTCGAGATATGAACTAATCAATTCACTTTCTGGATCAGACTGCATTGGTTAAGCTTATGAGGCTGTCACGTGATGAACGAACGACTCAAACCCGAAGACTTGTCAGATAAGAGGTGAGGTGAGCTAATCAAAGACTGAAGACCCAGGTAAACAATGAATTAATCTTTTCTGTTTCATATAACTACTGTTAATCTTGTATTTAATCATTTATAATTTATATATAATTATTCATTAAGTCTGGAAGTGAAAAATGTCTTATATTCAGGTGTGCCTAATTATTAAGCAGATTTTCTTTTACAAATATAATGAACCAAAAAAGAGATTTAACTCTTATTATTAAATGCCCATGAGAAATATTAAAAACTAATACAATTGCAAAGTTAATGCATAACCATTGGACAGCAAAATGCTCAGTGGGTCAGCAGGGTCAGCAGGGTCAGTGTGGAGAAGAAAAGATGCATGTTAACTGCAAAAGAATTAGGAATTAAGGTGAAGGAATAGGTGTGAAATCACCAGAAACCATTTAGTCTCCAGCGCCACCATTTTCCAGAACTGCAACCTACCTGGAGTCTCCAGAAGTACAAGGTGTCAGGTTCTCAGAGACGAAGGTTAAGTATAGAATCCTATATATATATATATATAGGCTTTATAGACAGATAAATTGAGAGTGACTCTTGAAGGACCAGCACCACATCCTCTTGTACCACTGTTTGAAGAATTTATCTTCCAGAATCTGGCAGTAAGTTTTGGGAGTTCATTTTTAGTCCATCTCGAGATTTTATCTGTAGAAGATAACCTGCTTAATAATTATGCACACCTGAATATAAGGCGTTTTTCACTTCCAGCCTTCATGAACAACAATATATAGATTATAAGTGATTAAATGCAAGATTAACAGTTGTTAATAAGATTTATGTTGTTTGGAATTGGTAAAATGTGCTTGGAAAAAAATATAATCAGAATATCAACTTGCATAATAATTATGCATGCACTGTATGTTTTTCCTCTTCTGCTGTCCTGGTAATGCAAGAAATGTTGTGAGTGGTTGTCAAGGCAGCCAATCAGAATTTAGCAGCCTCGTCTCTGATTGGCTGGAATTATGGCATATTGTAACGCTAGGTTGTGTTGAGCAAGCTAGCTGTTGGCATTTGGCGCCATGGCGCTTTTCCACTGCGTTGTACGGCACGGCTCGGTTTGCGTTTCCACTGCAGTTTAGTAC